GATATAATAATAGGAAATAACTTTCTAAAATTATATCAACCATTTGTCCAAAGGATTAGAACAATTAGCCTTAGATGTCCTAAAACAATAGACCATGAATCTAAGATAATCACAACCAGAATAATCACAAAAAATGAAGTGCTAAAAATTGTACTTTAAAACCTCAAAAATAGATTAGAATATATACAGATTACCTATAGCATTCTAGAGGATACTTTAGACCAGGTGTGTAGTGAACATCCTTTAGAGTTTAGATAAAGATAAAAATACCAATCAAGAACTTATCGAAATTAAACTAAAAGATCCTAAAATGGAAGTTAATGTCCCTAACAAAATTCAATATACTCAACGAGATGTAGAAGAATTCCAAAAGGAATGTTCAGAGTTAGCTGAAAAAGGTATAATACGAGAAAGTAAAAGTCCTCATAGTGCACCAGCCTTTTATGTAGAAAATAATAATGAAATCAAAAAAGGAAAAAGAAGAATGGTAATAAACTATAAAAAACTAAACGAACAAATAATAGGAGATAGCTATAAACTACCTAGGAAAGACTATATATTAGAAAGATTAAAAGGTCAAACGTGGTTTAGTAGTTTAGATGCTAAATCTGGATATTGGCAACTTCGTCTACATGAGAATACCAAACCTTTAACAGCCTTTTCATGTCCACCACAAAAACATTACGAATGGAATGTTCTCCCATTTGGAATGAAACAAGCACCAGCTATTTACCAACGGTTTATGGATCATGTCTTAGAGGGTTTTCAATCGTTCTGTTTAGCATACATTGATGATATTATTATTTTCACAAATCAATCAGAAGAAGATCATCGTGAAAAAATCTTGATAGTTTTACAGAGAATAAAAGAGAAAGGTCTAATTATCTCTAAAAAGAAATCGAAACTTCTTCAAAGAGAAATTGAATATCTTGGTATGAAGATTAATAATTTTGGCGAAATTGAGTTGTCACCAAACACTAAAGAAAAAATTGATAAATTCCCAAACCAACTTGAAAATAGAAAACAAATTCAACATTTTCTTGGATGCTTAAATTATATCAGCGAACAAGGATTTTTAAAAGATTTAGCAAAAGAGAGAAAACATTTACAGAAAAAGATTTCTGACAAAATCCCTTGGTCATGGAATGATCAAGATACAAAAATAGTTTTATTAATGAAGGAAAAATGTCAGCATTTACCAAAATTATATAACCCTTGTGAAAACGATTTTCTAATATTTCAAACGGATGCCTCTAAGGACACTTGGGCAGGGTGTATGTTAGCAATACAAAATGGCAAAGAATTATTACAAATGGACAATTTTGGTAATGTCAAAATAGACAATAACGAGGCTACTGTCTCTAGCCAAAAGCCTAAAGATTATCAGTCTTCGGACAATATTATTGAACTTTCAAGTTCTCAATCATCAGTTCCTTTCAATAGTGATAAATATTCTAAGAAATAATGTAAATATATTTCTGGAACATTTACCGCCACTGAACAGAACTATCAGATCCACGAATTAGAGACACTAGCCTGTCTCAGAACATTGAAAAAATGGAAGCTTGAATTATTATCTACAAGGTTTGAACTTCAAACCGACTCTAAATATGTAACAGGTTTTTGGAGGTACAAGCTTCAGGCAGATTTCAACAAAGGAAGATTAATCAGGTGGCAGCAACAACTCCATTATTACAATCCTTATGTGAAGTATATCAAGTCCAGCAACAATCCATTCACAGACACACTGACTCGAGAATGGAAGGATTCATTAAAACCCTCATCAATCAACTAAAGCAGAAGCAGGAAAAGAGTGCAGCACTGGAACAACAACTTCTCCTTTGCAGGGGGGAGGAAGAAGCAATAATTCAATCAATCGACGTCATTCAGCAACAGTTAAAAATCAACTACATCAACGTCAGTACATTAACAACTAGCTCCACTAGTGGAAAGCCATCAACACTTGCCACAGAACCTGCTGAAAAAGAAAAGTCGACAGCAACACAATCATCCACCACTACCAGCAATAATATACAAAAGACGACACGATGGGCAGACATCGTTGAACAAGAAGAAAAAGAAACAAAAGATTTCCACTATGAAGAAGACGACAGAAAAGGCAGCAAATGGTATGTCATATTTAATGTACCATACCGAGGAGTATATCATAACTGGGCCATCGCTAGCCAGCACATCAACGACAAACCAGTCCAACATCAATCATTTAAAACAAAAAAAAAACCGCCGACGAAGCATATAGACAATCATACAAGGTGATGGCAATGAAAGAACCAGTCAAGAATCAAGAGCAACAATCGTAGAAACTCGTCATGAAGATACCCAGTATCAAGAGCATCCTAACCACCAAGGAAAAAGAAGAGCAATTAAAACCAATCTTTCAGAAGTTCATATCCAACTGGGATATGATAATCAACTATGAAGAAAAACATACGACCATGGGTTTCTACCCCGTCAGTCGAGGAGGACCCAAAGCAGTAATCACAGAAGAAGCATCACCGGAACTCTCTTTTGAGTTCCATCAATATGGATTAATCGACACTATCTACACTACAACCATGAAGGTATTTGAATACTTCCCACAAAGAATGAGGAACGTAATCAGAAGATATCTCGAGCTATTCGCCAAGGAACGAGAAATATTTCTCAAGTATACAAGCAGCTACCCCGTATTCGATCAAGACAAACTATTGATCGGATCAAAGGCAGTTATCCTCATGGGAGTATCAAACCATGATTACCCTACCAGAGATGACCTACGAGACTATGAGAAAAACCCAGACTACCAAGTAAAGGGTCTTCTTGCAGTATGCAGAGCATTAACCAAAATTGAACCAGAAAGTCAGATTAAAGTCAATTACAGCAGCCCCGATGCCATCATCACCAGCAAAACAAGAGGAAACATGACCAAAGAAGAATGGGCAATCATAACAGATAAAATTAAGGAATTCACGAAAATTAATGGGAATCTGTCATCTCTTCCCATTCAAATCAAGAAACAGTTATGCAATAAGCTTACTATCTATGAAGACCATCTCTGTGAGTGGTGTGCATCAACTGACGAAGACATCAGTGGACCAGCAGACCAAGACTGACAGAAGCATGTGAAGAAAAAAGGAATCAAACAAATATGGAATAAAACGACAAGAGAAGGTTGGTCGAGTCCTTTAAAAAAGTCGTGCATTATTGTATTTTATCAGCTTTTCTTATCGTCTCACGCACTTTCTTTTGACGTGTTAGCTTTACGTCCCTGTTGCACAAACGTAAGCAATGACGTTCTTGCATCTCCTCTTAGCTCTATATAAGAGCAAGAGTTTGCAATGAAATAAGGCAGAACGAGTTTGGCCATAAAAATTGCATGTTTACTCTCTCCCTCTAGCTAGCTAGTTGTAAGGCTTGGATCCACTGATCCTGGAGGCCACAATCATCTTCAACATAATCAAACGCACGAAGAGCAGCTACAATCATCAAGAAATCATCAAAAAACTCAGAGTTTCATCAGAAGAACAAGTCATGTATGTCCAGTAATCCTAGTTCAAGTTATTTTGACTATTTAAACAAAAACGATAATGAAAATTACTTCTTAGATGGTGTTATAGACGTTAAGAAAATTAGAGAAAAAACTAATTTTACTATTTCAGAAACTCAAAATTTTATCACTAAGTCTTTTTTATCAAAACCCTTTGATAGAGAAAACATTATTAAATACGGTAAAATGATAGGAGAAGTAGCAGTCCCTATTGATCAAACTAAGGGCGATTTTCTAATCCAAGTAATAAACAAAGAACAAATTAGAAAAAGATTAGACAAACTAAGATCAGAAGAACGAAATAAAATAGCTTATATTCATATTAGTACAATTCAAATTATACTAAAATCAACCATGAAAATAGGAATTGACGCACCAATGGAATTAGAAATTCGTGATGATAGACTCATTAATGAAGAAGAGAGTATTATTGCCAAAGGAACGGGAAATTTAGGAGTAGGAATAATTAAATTTGATATTAACTTACAACAAGGACTGAGTCTGGCAGTTGGTAACCTTGACTCTTCTATCATTATAAAATACGAATTAAAAAGAGAAAATTTTATTTATCAAATAAACTATGCATTAACAAATAGTCACCACAACTTAACCTTCAAAAATAAAGAAGTAATTACTATTGAAGATTTATTTAAACCTTTAATTCAACTAGAAGCACCACTAAAGACTGTTAAAATAGAACCTAGTCGACCATCGATAACCCAAGATAAAAAATAATTAATTAAAACACAATCAGAAAGAATTAGGCATATCCTAGTAATTGAACAAAATTTAGAACAAGAAGAGATAACTAATAATCAAGTAATAAATAAGTTGGAAAAATTGCAACATTCAATAGCAAATCTAGAGAATAAAATCTAAATATGTCTACTAATTATCAAATAAATAAATTAATTGAAGGAATAGATGCTATAAATCTCACTTCAATAAATGATATCAGTACGGTCACACAAGAACTAACTTATTTTGCTTCAGAAATCGTAGAGGAACAAACGAGTATTGGAACCATAGAAACATTAGAAGAAGCTATCTCCAAAATCGAATTAATTACTGATATAATAACTAGCCTAAATAAAACAAAGATTACTAAATCAGTAAGACATTTATGAAAATATAACAGAATAAAATAACATGGTATCATAGCTGATCAGACCGATCAACTACCCGAATTATTTAGTTCACACAGATTAGGGTATTAGTTCATATACTTTTGGATATCACTTAGTATATACTAAAAAAAGCCCAGTTAACAGATTAGCCGGGTTGCCTCCAACGAATCCTGTAAACAGAGTAATGACGAAGTGAACGAATTGAATTCTAAAACGACCAGTTGAAAAATAATCTGGAATCTTTTGATTTTGCCATAACCCAATAATCTGACGCCGCCGGATAAGGTTATGCGTTAACCAAAATTGTGGATTAAGGTTGTTTTATACTCGGATTGCGACAAAAAAGCAGGTGATGCGGTGCCTTATCCCTTGAAGTGATCTTTACTCGTCCCCTCGTGACCACCAGTCCACCACGATTCTCTACTTCCTTCCCAAGCCCCCACTCGCTTTCTCGCCATATCAGCAAATCACCCCTTTTCTGGGTTTCTCCTGTTGCTTTTCCACTCATTCTCAGTCATCACTCCATCTAAACTTGTGTTTTTGGAGGTTCGAACTAGTAGGGAGAGAGATGGGTTCGCAAGGAGATGTGAGGAATGGAGAAGAAGAGAACATGGCAGCTTGGCTGGTCGCAGTCAACACCCTCAAGATTCAACCTTTCAAGCTCCCTTCACTGGGTTCTTCTTTATCTCTTACTTATTCCTCTGGTTTCTTTTACTGCAAACTACTGATATTCCTCTGCAAATAGGATGATAACACATAAACCCCCTTTCGGCCTAGTGGGTTTTGCTTTGATTGAATTAATTAACTTCTCTACACTCTTCTAGTTGATTCGATTCTAAAGTTGAAAGCTTTGTGCTGTCTTAGGACCGCATGATGTTAGAGTAAGGATGAAAGCTGTTGGAATCTGTGGGAGTGATGTTCACTACCTTAAGGTCACCTTCTTTGGTCCGTTATTCCTTTATTATTACGATTGATTAATACCCGCATTAGAGAGGATTGTAACTGGATTCCCCACTACCTAGTTTCTCCCCTATCAAGTGGGAACTCTATTCTGAATTGGGACCAAGTTGTTGAAAAAATGGATGATTTGTCCTTACCGTCGTCCTGTCAATCTTTTTGCAGACCTTGAGATGTGCACATTTTGTGGTGGAAGAACCAATGGTGATTGGCCACGAGTGTGCTGGAATCGTGGAGGAGATGGGTAGTGAAGTAACCCATCTTGTTCCGGGGGATCGCGTAGCACTAGAGCCCGGGATCAGCTGCTGGAGATGCAGCTACTGCAAACAAGGCAGCTACAATCTCTGTCCCGAGATGAAGTTCTTCGCAACTCCACCTGTTCATGGCTCTCTGGCCAATCAGGTCGATTGACCCACAAGCCACCATCTCCTGGCTAGGTCAATGTTCCACCAAAGCTCCAATCTTGACTCACCATTCCTTCGCTTGCAGGTGGTGCATCCAGCAGACCTTTGTTTCAAGCTGCCGGAGGATATCACCTTGGAGGAAGGAGCAATGTGTGAACCCTTGAGCGTTGGGGTCCACGCCTGTCGTCGAGCCAATGTCGGTCCCGAGACTAATGTCTTGATCATGGGAGCTGGGCCTATTGGCCTCGTCGCGTTGCTGGCTGCTCGGGCTTTTGGCGCACCAAGGGTTGTGATCGTGGATGTGGACGAGTTTCGCTTATCTGTTGCCAAGGATCTTGGTGCTAGTGAGACTGTTAAAGTGTCTACCAATGAGGAGGTTCTTCAATCTCCTTTTTTTCCCCACCCTCAAGGCTACTTATCAGGTTAAACAAATTTCTGACAACTAAAAGGGCCGAATTGTTAATGCAGGAAGTGGCTGGAGAAGTGGAACTGATAAAGAAAGCCATGGGAGAATCAGTGGACATAACTTTGGATTGTGCAGGTTTCAACAAGACCATGACGACTGCACTGAATGCCACGAGGCCAGGTGGCAAAGTGTGTCTCGTGGGAATGGGTCACAATGAGATGACAGTGCCACTCACTCCTGCAGCAGCAAGGTCAGTAATCCTTTGTTTCGTAAGTTTGTCGTTTGATCTGGAATTTAGTTGGAACTTGGAGTTGGCTTGCGACTCAAGGTAGACATGTGCAGGGAGGTAGATGTGGTTGGCGTGTTTCGGTACAAGAACACATGGCCGTTGTGCATAGAGTTCTTGAGGAGTGGGAAGATAGATGTGAAGCCGCTGATAACTCACAGGTTTGGCTTTTCACAGAAGGAGGTTGAAGATGCGTTTGAGACCAGCGCTCGTGGTGGGTCTGCCATCAAAGTCATGTTTAACCTCTGAGCATTGAAGAAATATTGAAACGAGAGAGAAAAGGCTTACATATGATTATACAGGTCCTATTTTGATTGTACAAACTGGAAAGAAAAGGTTCATATGTTTCGAAATAAAGTAGGCATAAGACTATTTTTCTGCATAGCGATTAGCTTTTTCACCTATTTTTACTACTAAGATATTGAATCTACCATTCTTCAGCTTGTTCATATTTCATACAAATTGGATCAACCAGAACGGATTTTAGGCGTTCTTAATCGTTGCAGGTTTGCAGGTACTAAGAACGCTGATAAAGGAAAAGATTGAAATTTCTAACACTTTACTTTCTTCTACTAACAGAATTCCATAAGTTGGAGTTTAATGTATATACTATTATCTAGATTACCAGCAATAGGCTTATCTAGATGGCATCATCCTGCTGCTTAGAACACGATCCTGCTGCATAGAACACAATCTAGCCTTTCATCACTTTCTACTTCTTAACTGGAGGCCCGAGGGTAATATCGCTGATCCCTTTCACCAACTTCGGGATGCAGGGACCTGTTGACTGTTGTGCTTCGCTGCTGCTCCGTTGAACCCTAAAAGATTCTGCATACCTTGGAACAGGAGTAGGCCAACAAGGGAACATGGGCTGAAACACCTGAAAACACGGTATAAGTTTGGCAAAGGGCTGTGGCCTTCCCGTCCCGTAACCAAAGGACAATATAACAAACGGTTTAGGATGTTCGAAGAAGACAGCTCTCGGCATCTCTGGATACAGAGCAACATCATGACAGTCATAAAGATTATAATCTGATGTCCACCACCAGCTCGACACAGTTTCATTTAGGGTCAACACGAGTGGCTAGGCTGAAAGGATCGACAATCGAATGACGCCTCATTCCATAGCAGTTACACGACCAAAACAACTCTCCATTGCAGGAAACTACATTCGTCCAGAACTCTCTGATATAACCGTCGAGGACAAGAACCTCCTCTGTCCAACCTCCAGACTCCGAACAAAACACATTTGCTTTTCCAACCCTCTTCGATCGGTATACACACACCAATCGAAAATCGGAATCGATAAGCAAGGTTGTAATTAAAACTGCTACCAAGTTAACAACCTAACCTTGTAGCCGGTTCAAGGTACTCATCCTCATTTGATTTTGCATCACAACCAGATTGCAGACAGAGAGATCTGAGCAATTCGTTATCCATTCTATCTGAATACTGAGACCCGCATTCAGGAACAACGCTCAGGATGGTTCCCGGGACTCTTGCAACAGACGCAGTAGCGGATGCCAGTGGAGAAAATACAAGCATGAAGCATAATAATCTTTCCCGCTTACAAATTTGCCATTCAGCCTCCTCTTCCTTATCAACGTTCAGCTTATTCATACAGATCAGGTCAACCAGAAAGAAAAGTTAAATGGTGGCTAAGCTACATCTGGATTCAAGTGTTTCTTTCTTCTTCTTCCATCTCCGTCCGTTACAGAAAGCCTCACTCAACAATGACCATCATGGCTGTGTAATGCTTACTAAGAAAACCAAAAAGATTAAAAATTGAGGTTTCTACAATCCACTTTTCTCCTACACGTTATTACCAAAAAAAGGTGGGAAAAAATAAGATGGAAGTGATGAGGAATAATATATGATGACACTGGCGAAACACGTAAGGCCAACATCATCAAGTTGCTGGAGTTGGTTGTTCAGCTTTACAATTCCACACTCTCACTTGTCCGGTTCCGTCACCGGTGAAGAAGAGGCCACCTGGACCGGCCTGAATTGCTCGAATCTCCTGTTTAGAGAAAATTTTGCCCCTCTCTGAAAATCTGCGCGTTCATACACAATACCAGTTGCAGGCTGTCAGAGCTTGTCAAGTGTGGAGAATAGATCGGAATGCAACAAGAGATTCTGAAACTCACGATGGCAAGTCATATATCCGGACTGAGTTGTCATTACAAGAGCATAACAACAATGGCTTGCCTTCCAAATCATGCATCCCGCATAGCTTAAGGAGTCCCTGTATCATGCAAGTTTTTGCATCACTAAAACAAATCCGTACCAGTCCATTTTGTAAAGTTTGGAGTATGGAGTCTTGCTTATGACACCTTAACAGGACTGTATCACATTTTACTTCTAGATGACTATCATCCCTAGGAATATACAATCCCTAAACCGTAGACAGCAAATGTATTATCATCCTTGATGTCCCTCGAGATCTATGGATTTTGATTCTTGAAATTGAACGTTCAAATGGTTCATCATGCACCTCCTCTATCATTACAGCAAAGGGGAACTGCTACTACAGCCTAAAGGTATGTCATCACAGTTGTGTCCTGATTTGAATAGACTTGAGATTTCTCTATGAGGGTTGGCATATAATAAGTCTAAAGATACTATAGTGAACATGGTCCAGCCGACAGACACACCAAAGCACTCCTAATGTGTTTAGTAAAACCAAAAAATACAGCACTCAGGTAAAAAATTCATTCACCGCCAACTTTGTTACCTCATTAATGAGGAAAAAAACACAACTTACATGTTCTTCTTGATGTGTGTATGTTACTTCCAGATCCCCTCTTTCTGTGGCGGCCCAGACCTGGAAAGGAAGAGAAAACGACTAATTCAATGACTTATTTCAGATAAACCAAGGATCGCAATTCACAATAATAAACATTTTGTTACTATACCTTTATTGTCTTATCTAATGAACTAGATAAAAGAAACTGGTCCCAGCAAAGAACAGACATGACCACTGAAGTATGCCCGGTCAAGGTTTGTACGCACTGCAAATTTTCAAGGTTCCAGACCTAGAAAAAAAGCATGATGAATATACGTAGCAAACATGAAAGTTCCAATTAAAATATAGCTGAAACAGGTAGTATGATAAGATCATGAGGGTGTGTTCACCTTTATAGAATTGTCCATGGAACCGGAGAAGAGTCTGTTAGCTCCAACAACTAATGAGACAACAGCTAACGAATGGCCCTTAAGTGATGCAGCTGGCTCAAAGATGCTTGTGGCTGCATTATATCTCCATGCCAAGATTTCTGAATCCTACACTAATATAAACAGTTTTACAGTTATATGTTCTTCATCCTCTACAACTGCAAAAGATGACTAGAGGAAACAGGAGGATGAATAGCATCATCCAGAAGTCTAATGCCACAAAAACATCCCCAATATGTCCAAATTCACAAGTTTATGAGGTTGAGCCATAGATAAGGACAAAAGGATCTATAATCCAGTGACATATTACCTGGGTGCCAGCAAATAGCAAGTCACTACCCACAACCATAGCATAAACTTGTCCAACAGGCCCACTAAGACTTAGGTCAGCGTTGGTCTGCAAGTTCCATGCCTGATAAAATATGCAAGCCCTTAGAAACCAATTTGAAAAGGGACCATCATTGGTCATAGAAAGAACGAAGTCAGCAAAATGCAGATACTACCTTACTGACAGCATAAACTAAAAGCAAAGATCAGGCATACTGGGAATCGACTTAATTTCATGTCTTCCTAACCTTCACAAGATTTGGGATACCGACAAAAATCCATGGACCTTCGGTGATCATACAACCTACTTCACCACCCAGATTGATAACTCCCATGCACTGGAAAAACACGACAAGTACACTATCAGAAAACTTAAACAGTAGAAGATTACAGAACAAGTAATGGATAAACTAACTATTTGTTTATACAGTTAAGACTTAAGACTATATAACCAAAGCAACCTGGCCGGATTGGCAATCCCAAATCCTGACAGTTTCATCTTGGCTCCCCGTGTAAAGCTTATCAGACCCAGATGGCAAAGCAATCCCACTGACAACCTGCTCATCATAACAAGAAGCAATCAGCACGACAATGCCGGTAGCATAATACCCTCAATAAGGAAAGAAAAGACAGAAAGCCAATACCTTTTGGTGGCCTCCTTCAAGTTGCGTCAACAAAGAGAAACTATCGCCTGAACTCCAACTATGTAAATACCTGCAGCCCTCCCCAAAAGTACAGTTCCCTTGTATCCAGTAATTACACAATTTATCCGTCTTCTTGACCACTCTATTATTCCCAGTCCGCCCCCAAGTCGACGAACTATTGAAGTTCGGGGTTCTTCGGGCGGCGGGAGGGCCCGAAAACCCGGAATCGTTGGAGAACCCGCGCTTGGCAGGATGGCTGCCGTTAGAAGCACTGGCAGAGGAGTTCGGTGGCGGCAATTCCCGGTGGAGGAATGGGCAGGGGAAGCGGTTGCACTTGCCCGCCCGCCAATGGAAGCAGACTTTCTGGTTCTTGTTGGAGTCGTTGTGGTTCCCCCGCGGTCCTCCTCCGCCGCCGCTTAGCCGGTGGAAGACGCCTTTATTCCCGCCGTGAGCGTCCAAATCCATCTCCGATTATTTTAACTTCGGAGCAGGAGAAACAAACTAGGGCGCCGAAAGCTCGTCCGTCTGCTAAACTGGAGTGAGCCGGGACTATTGCAGACGAATCCGATCATGAAAGAAAACCCTAATGAGTTAAATAGAACAGCTTCAGGGGAGCCGCCGCGCTGATTGGATGCTGGAACTGATCTGGGGGCTTTGCGAAGCAGATGAAGAAGAGCAGAGTACGTAGGGATATCGGGCAGTGGCGCAAACTCCGATCTCTGTCGCTCACGCGGTGGCCAACTCGCGCGATGGCGGAAGGTGCGAAATAAGCTAAAGTAGCCAACGGAAATAGAGAAAGGCAATTATGCGACGTCACCGGCCGTGCGACGGTGAGGATGCTCATTTACCGGATCGCCCTTATAAGAACCGTGGAATACGTATTGTATACGCAGCCTGACTAATTAGTAATTACTAATTACAAGTTTAATAACGGAATTATTTAGGTCATGATTCTTGTTTTTTCTCCCTAGATAAAATTATATTTTTTTACAAAAAAAATAATCATATATTGATCGATAAAAGACAGTTACACCCTGAAATTCAGCTAGGTCTGAAAATCAAAGAAGCGACACATAGTTGGGTACAACAAAAGGGCCTTTCTAGCCACTACATGGGCTACCCTATTATAACGCCGACTTACGAATCGGACACTAAACCCTGGATGGGCAGCAAAATACTGCACTACTTCATTAAGAACAGCTCTCATCTGGTTATCACTGGTATCCGCCTGCCTGATCTTATCAATAACCATCTTGGCATCTCCCTCAAATTCTACCAACGCAAAACCGAGGTCGAGACACCACAACAGAGCTTTGTGGAGGACTAGCAACTCCACCACAGCAGGGTCATCAATGCTTGGAAACTGAACTCCTTTAGCGAGCAAGAGAGCCCGATCCTGGTTCGAAATCACCATCCTCCTGCCGCATGAGACCCAATCCTCGTAGCCCCATCCCACATACAAACTGTTAGGAGAAGCAGACCGATGTTAGCATTCAGTGAGGATGAGCAGCATAAAAGGAAAGGAATTACGGGCTCAAATCAGAGGAATTCAAAGGAATGCAAAATTGGAAAGAACAGCAAACTTACCAAAGGAAGTGGAACAAACTTGGTAAGAAGAGATTATTCTTCAACGGCTCAAATGGAAGAGTGATATATATACAAGTAGCCGAAGAGAGTCATGTAGCAATTTTTCCCTTCTGATTTGTGAGAACAAAAGAGAGTGCTTGTGAAGCTAGAGTCTTTTGGGAAGAGTGATCAGTAGAGTTGAGGAGATTAGCTGGGAAAAATCGAAGTGTTTGATCATGAGGGTTAAACACTGAGGGTGTAGCTTGGTAGATTTGCAGGGAGCAAATTAGGAGTTCACCAAGTTCTGTAAAACACAAAAACACTGAAATAGTGCTTACGTAGAAGATCTCAAGAAGAGAGTCTTCTACCGTGGATTAGTCGATATTGGGATCCTCATTCTCCCAATATCGGATACCACGTAAAAATCTGGTTTGTGTGTGTGAGTGAGTTTGACTTTGCTGTTGGTATTGTTCTTGTTGTCTTACTCTGTTTTGCAGAAACAGAGTTCAGGGAAGAAGGCTCGGCTTCTTTAGGAAGAAGAAGATACAGTGAAGTGGGCTTAAACAGCAGGCCCATTCCACTTCAACTTTAGTTACATCGTATAGGGCTCAAGCCCGCTCAGGGTCGTTTTATTAAACAGTATTTTATATCTGAACCAAACCATTTTCCATTTGTTAAAATTAACAATTCCATTACTCGATTCTCTCACTTGGTCTTAGATTGGGAAATTAGGGTTTCTTCACAGGAGTGATCATTGGAGAAAAGTCCGACCGTCTCGCGCTCGCCGATCCAACACGTGGTATCAGAGCCTGGTTCCTGCATCAGAGGCGTAATTGTCTGCAGAGAAGATGAGCTCGGGGTCAGCTACTGGAATTTTCATGGCGGATGGTTTCTCCCAAACAAGACCACCAAGATTTGAAGGGGTTCATTACGGGTACTGGCGCAATCGCATGGAGTTATTCATAGGTTCGACAGATCCTGATCTGTGGAACATAGTCATGGACGGTCCCCTTGAAGTGAAGGAAGCTCGTGGAAAATGGACTGAGGCTGACAAGAAGAATTTTCAGATGAATTCAAAAGCTACCAACCTGATGTACTGTGCTTTGGGTCCCGAAGAATATCACAGGGTGTCGGGATGTAAAACAGCCAAGGAAATCTGGGATAAACTTCAGATAGCTCACGAGGGCACATCGCATGTGAAGATTTCCCGGATTAACAGTCTGAAGCAAGAGTTTGAGTCGTTCATCATGAAGCCAGAAGAGTCAATCAGGGAAATGGTTGAGCGATTTACTACAATTGTTAACAGTCTAAGAAATCTGGAGGTAGAATATGCAAGCGCGGATTTAGTGAGGAAGGTTCTCTGGGCTCTGCCTAAGCGCAGGACACCTAAAGTAACCGCCATCGAAGAGTCCAAAGATCTTACCAGGTTGAGTTTAGATGAACTAATTGGATCCCTGGTAACACATGAAGAAAAATTGAAGAGAGAAGAGGTAGAAGAGCCTCGAAAGGAAAAGAAAGGGATAGCTTTCAAGGCAGTAACACAGGAAGAAGATTTGGACTGTCTTGAAGAAATGGAGGATGATGAATTGGCAATGCTCAGCAAGCATGTAGCCAAACTGCTGAGAATGAGAAAAGAAAAGAGACGAGGAAACTTCGTAAGCAGAGCAAGAGATGGAGAAAATGAGAGGGAATTCAGCAGACCAAGCAGGTTTGGTTTGAAGAACAAGAAAGAAGGAACAAGCTCAGAGAAAAATCAGTCACAAACAGGATGCTTCAAGTGCGGGAAATCTGGACATATCAGGGCAGATTGCCCCTTGCTGAAGAAAGAGAAGGCGTTTGCAGCCACATGGAGCTGCAGTGAAGACGACGAAGATGAGGATGATGTCAAACAAGAAGCTTATATGGCGATTGATAAAAGCGACATTGAGGAAAGCGAAACACAGGTAAATCTCTACTACTCTGATTGTTGTAGTGAAGATGAACTGTTAGATGAGACAATTCTAGATATTCAAAACGAGTTTTTAAGGGTAAAACAAAAGCATGTACTAATCAAGTCAAAATATGAAGAACTGTTAAAAGAAAACTTAACCTTGAAATTAGAGAAAAATGATGCAGAAAGTAAACTTGTAAAAGCTGTGACTGAAAATAATGAGCTAAGAAGTAAGCTGGAATCAGCAGATACTGAAATTGAAAAGTTGAAAACTGAATGTAAAGTGAAAAAGGTCTCGAGCAGAAATCTAAATAAAAACTATAGATATCCTCAAAGGTTCAGGAATTCAGAGTGTCACTACTGTCATAAAATTGGACATCATATTGCTGAATGTAGAAAGCGTTTAGCTAAAGAAAATCGAGTAAAAACCTTGAACTGCGTTAACTGCCATGAAGTAGGACATTCAAGTCAAAACTGCTCAAAAGAATTTAAATTAGGAAGGGTAACCAAATTAGTTTGGATACCTAAAAACAAATAAACAAAATTGTTTTTGCAGACCTGTCTCCATGTGAGCATGGCAGACAGCGTTTGGATTCTGGATAGTGGATGCTCACACCATATGACTGGAGATAGAAGGCTTTTTACAAATCTGATCCTAGGAAAGAAAGGTAAAGTGTTATTTGGTGATAATTTCAGCACAGAAATCCTAGGAAAAGGGCAAGTAGGATTGAGTCCATCAATAAACAATGTCATGCTTGTTAAAGATCTTAAACATAACCTGTTGTCAATAAGTCAAATGTGTGGAATTAAGAACAGAGTAATATTTGAACCTGAAAAATGTTTTGTTGAAGAAATCTCTAGTGGTAAAATACTTTTCACTGGCAAACGAAAGGGTAAGCTTTTCACAATTGATCTAAATGACAAAGATGCCTTCAATGAAACCTGTTTAATCTCAGTTGATAAAAATGATCAGGTAGAATGGCATCGTAGACTAGGTCATGTCAGTATAGGTATCCTGTCTAAGCTAGTAAACCTTGAGTTGGTCAGAGGTATTCCCAAAATTAATAGCAAGAAGGAATTCTTTTGTGATGCATGTGCTAAAGGAAAACATTCTAGGACTTCTTTCAAATCAAAGACAGTTATATCCACTAACAGACCTTTAGAGTTGCTTCATCTTGATTTATTTGGACCCAGCAACATAAAAAGTCTAGGAGGAAAGTATTATGCTTTTGTAATTGTGGATGATTACTCAAGATACACTTGGGTACTCTTTCTCACTAGCAAAGATGAGGCTCTGTTTGAATTTAAAAACTACTCTGCTCGAGTTGAAAATGAGAAACAAACAAAAATTGTTAGTATCAGAAGTGACCATGGTGGTGAATTTGTGTCAGAAAACTTTGAGCAATTCTGTAATGAGAAAGGGATTACACACAACTTCTCTGCACCTAGAACACCTCAGCAAAATGGTGTTGTTGAGAGGAAAAACAGAACACTCATCGAAATAGGCAGAACTATGCTAAATGATTATGGGGTACCAAAACATTTCTGGGGTGAAGCTATCAACACTGCCTGTTACATAACAAACAGAGCTCTAATCAGATAAAAATTGAATAAAACACCCTATGAACTTTGGAAGAACAGAAAACCTAATCTAGGGTATTTTCATCCATTTGGATGCAAATGCTTTATTCTAAACACCAAAGATCAGTTAGGGAAGTTTGATTCAAAATCAGATGAAGCTATCTTTCTAGGGTACTCTGTAAATAGCAAGGCCTATCGTGTGTATAATAAAAGGACCCTCAGAGTTGAGGAGTCCATTCATGTGGTATTTGATGAGTCTACCAGTAAGTGTGCAGAAACTCTAGAAGATGATGAAGACTTTGGACTCAATATAAGTCAAACTAAAGAAGTTGCAGAAGCTACAACAGGCATTGAGGCAGATCAAAATGCAAGTCCTGAAAACATATGCCAGAAGGAAGCTCCTCTGCACATCCAAAAGCGGCATCCACCATCTCTAGTGATTGGAGACTTAAACCAAGGTATGGTCACGCGATCTAAAACCTATCCTGAACATACTGCTTTCATATCGTTAATAGAACCTAAGAACATTGATGAGGCTTTAGAGGATGAGTTCTGGAATGCATCAATGCATGAAGAAATGCATCAGTTTGAAAGAACCAGAGTCTGGGACTTGGTTCCTAGACCTAAAAACCGAACTATCATAGGAACTAAGTGGGTTTACAGAAACAAATCTGATGAAATTGGAATGATCATAAGAAATAAATCTAGATTGGTTGCACAGGGTTATAATCAAGAAGAAGGTATAGACTTTGATGAAACCTTCGCACCTGTAGCTAGATTGGAGGCAATCAGACTACTGTGTGCCTTTGCTGCCTCAAAAGGCTTTAAATTATACCAAATGGATGTAAAA